TTGAGACAGGGTCTCCCTGTAGCCCCAGCTGTCCTGGAACTCACAGAGATCAGCCTGCCTCTGCCTCCTGAGTGCTGGGATTAAAGGCATGCACCACCATGCCCGGCTTATGAAATATAATTTTAAGTACCCCTATTCCTGTCTACAAAATGAAGTATAAATGTGCTTTTATAGACTATCCAATGATCCTGTCATTCATTGTGCCCCATTAAACTGTGGGGCTTCATTGATAGGAAAGTGCTCCAGGAACATTAAAAAAATGATTATTGGGAGAGGGCACAGCACATGCCATAGTGTGCATGTGGAGGTCAGAGGACAAATTTGTGGAGTCAGTTCTCTCCTTCCATCTTTACATGGGCTCTGAGGATTAAACTCAGGTATCTAGGCTTGCACTGCAAGTACCTTTAGCTGATGAGCCATCTTGCCAGCCCTGAACATAAAAAAAAGCACTGGCTGCTCTGACAGAGGACCTGGGTTCAGTTCCCATCACCCACATGGCAGTTAACAACTGTTCATAACTCTGGTTCCAGGGGATCCTATGTCTTCTTCTGGACTCCATGGCATTGTAGGCAAATCGCACACTTACACACATGTAGGCAAAACACTCATACACATTTAAAAAAAAATCCACAAAACTTTATTTGGGGCAAAGTCTCATTAGGTAGCCCAGGCTGGCTCTTAAAAAAATATTTTTATGCGTATGAGTCGGAGCTCCTGGAACTGGAGTTATGACAGTTGTTAGCTGCCGTGTAGTTGCTGGGAACGAAACCTGGGTCCGCTGCAAGAGCAGCCAGTACTCTTAATCACTGAGGCATCTCTCTAGGCCATTTTTTGAGACAGGGTCTCCTTGTAGCTCCAGCTGGCCTGGAACTCACTATATAGACCATGCTGGCCTGGATCTCAGAGATTCACCTGCCTCTGCCCCCAGAGTACTGGTTGAATAAGGTTGTGTGCCACAATGGGCTTTGAACTTGCCATCTTTCTACCTCAGCCTTCCAAGTACTTAGGTATGCCTCAGTACTCCTGGCTTTCTGTGGACTTCTAAAGATGCCTTCCCTGACACAGAGCAGGAACAGACAACGTGTCTTCACTTCTTTTTCTGGTCTGTCCACAAAATGTGAAATGAAGCTCTCTGCATGAGCCTGTCTCCCTTCCCATCTCTGGGAGTATCTTTCTCATCTGTTACAAGGTTAACACAGAAATAAATGACAGCAAAGCAGTGGCCTCCCTTTACCTGCTCATTTTCTTACTGGCTAGAAAACAAGAAAGGGATGGCAGTTTTCCGAAGAACCCTCTCTCTGCCTGCTAACTGGTACTTCTCGGGAGAGGGCAGTCCAGATTGATGGAAAAAGGATACAAAAAGTGTCGGATACGGGATGCTAAGTATGTATGGATGTGTGCTCATAAGCAAGCATGGTCCAGTGGTGCACACCTAGGGCAGAGTAGCCAGATTAGGTCAACGTCTGGGTCTCATTCCTCCACAGCCTAAGCCCAAGAATGAAAGATGTGGTGAAACATTTTGACGCCTTTAGTTCCAGCATCCTGGAAGCAGAGGCAGGTAGCTCTTTGTGGGATCAAAGTCAGTCTGGTCTATAAGCAAGTTCCAGGCCAGCTGGGGCTACAGGAAGACCCTATCTCAAAAACAAACAAAAAAAGAGTAACTCCTGCAAATGCCTTAAAGAAAACAAGTTTTCAAGTTGCATTTCCTCAATGTAACTCTCCATCACAAGGACAAGGCGCACCTTATTCCCACAGAGCAATGCTGAAGACCCAGGCCTGCTATTTCAGGACAGCGTTTTTCTACGTTTATCCAAGTCACTTCCTTTGTGTAGTCTGTATGTTCATGTGTGTGTGCTTGCACAGGTGAAGACCAGAGGTCACATCAGGTGTCTTGCTCTCCACACTTTTTATTTTTGGTCTTTTTGAGACAGGGTCTCCCTGTAGCTCCAGCTGTCCTGGAACTCACTATGTACACAAGGCTGGCCTTGAACTCAGAGTCTGCCTCTGCCTTCCAAGAGCTGGGACTAAAGGTGTGTGCCACCATGCCCAGCTCCTCCCCACCTTATTTTGTGTGCAAAGACCAGAGGATGTGAGGTGTCCTTCTCTGTTACTTTCTGCCTCATTCCCTTGAGATAGTGTCTTACTGAACCTGATGCTAGGATGGTAGGCAGCAACTCCAGAAATCCTGTCCCTGCCCCAATAACATGCAGGTAACAGGGATGTGTTCATTTAATGTGGGTGTTAGGCATTCAAACTCAGGTCCTCATACTTCCTTAAGAAGTGCTTTGACCTGCTGAGCCATCATCCCAATCCTCCACCTTACTGAATCTCTCCATTCAACCTGGAGTTCACCAATTGGCTAGTTCAATCTGCCAATGAGCCCCAGGGATCCATGTGTCTCTCACTCTCCCTGCTGGTGCCACCACATCAGGCTCTTACATCATGGCTGCTGGGATCCAAACTCAGGCCCTCATGCTTGCACAGCAGGCCCTTCACTGAGCCATCTTCCTAGCCCCCTTCCTTACCTCAGCTGCAGTTTTTTGTTGTTGTTTTTTTTCTTTTGTCTTATTGAGACAGGGTCTCCCTGTAGCCTCAGCTGGCCTGGAACTCACTATGTAGATGAGGCTGCCTCTGTTGGGATTAAAGGTGTGGGCTAATATGCTCGGCTTTGTTGTCATTTTTTGAGACAGGTTCTCCTTGTAGCACTGGCTGACCTGGAACTTACTATGTAGACCAGGCTGGTCACCATCTCAGATTTGCCTGCCTCTGCCACCCAAGTCCTGGGATTAAAGGTGTATGCCACCAGGCCCAGTTTACCTTAGCTGCAATTTTGACCTAGAAAGTAAAAACCTAAAAACAGTTTCTATATGTGTCACTCACTGCCAGAAAGCAGTCATTTTGGGGGACTGTTTGGGAAGTATTGCAGCTGTTATTTCAGACTATGCCAGAGAGAAGATGCTCTCAACTTTTCACTGTCAGCCAATCCAGGAAAGAAGTCAGAGTTGATGCTAAGCAGAGATGCCAGAAGGTCAAAACACCTTCAGGGTCCATCATATCTGTTACAGGTCCTTCACCAGGTTTCTGGCTTAGACTATGTCACATTTAACAACCAAAGCAAGCTACCAGAGAACAACAGCATTCTGAAATAGCAAACACTGTTTACAAACTAGAGATACGACATTTATTTCACAACTTTGCCATAATTTTCTTCCTAAGAAGACATGTACTGGGGACATTTAAAACACTGAGGCAGCTGGATGCTGGGTATCTTCCAGGCAGGGATTTGGCTGTGAGCTCCCAACAGAAAGGATTGGATGCACCAATACTGGCCAGCCCCACTTTACTTGGAGCCACCTCCTTTCTTGGGGCCATTAGTCCTCATTTCATGCCATAGTTTCACTAGAGGCTCCCTGTTCTTCCAAATGAGTTCATGACCATAAGTAATGTACCATCTGGAGAAAAGAAAGACAAAATCAGGTCCAAAATTCAAACAATGCAACGTATGCAAATCTAACTACTATCAGAGTATCAAGATGGCATTTTTTTTTGTCTTTTTGAGACAGGGTTTCTCTACAGCCCCAGCTGGCTTAGAACTCACTATGTAGACCAGGCTGGCCTTGAACTCACAGAGATCCCCCTGCCTCTGCCTCCTGAGTGCTGGGATTAAAGGCATGTGCTACTACTATGCTTGGCACACCAATTTTTAAAAAGGTCTAAGCAGGATGCATCTATGAGCAAATGCTTTGAATTATGTGAGGGCTTTATACTGCTACTATAAAAAAATATTTTAAACATTTATTTTTTTGGGAGGGGGGCACTGTTGGGGGACCCTGCTGCTAAGGCTGTAGTCCACCATGTCCAGATAGCTCTAAGAAGCTCGACGCTGTATGGAGGATTCCCTTTTCTTAGCGGGTGCTTCCTGCTCTCTGCCTGACCTTACCTGGAAAGTGCCTCCAAGCACAGATGCCTGGCCTTATTTGGAACATGACCTTTGGCATAGTTACCTGCAATAAACTGCCCCCAGGTTTTTTCTATATGATAATTAGGCATTGCCCTATAGCCAGATGATAGGATCCCCCTACCACATGTAAATAAAGCATACTATGAACACCTATCATGTAAAACTTTGGCTGCTGCCTCCACACTATATTTTTCCCTGACCCCCACTGAATAAACGAGCTGTATCACTGAAACTGATGCCCAGAAGGTCTTTTCCAATGTGCTCACTGGTTGTCTTGACCCCGTTAGTCGCCTCTGCTCCCTTTGTTCTTGTGGGTTGGTGGCCAGCAGCCCATGAGGGGAGGGAGAGACCCACAGCTGGCGCCCAACATGGGGCTCCTGGAATGTGTAGAATTTTTGAGTACCCCTCTCTCCAAGAGGGTAGTGGCAGCTTTGCCTTGGCCATTCCACTCTTGAGGATTGGCAGCCCCTCCTTTTCCCCCCTTTACTTTCAGTCTGAGTCTTCGCGTGGGACCCTTAAAGACGAAGGAGCAATTGAGGCTTTCTGATCAGGGCTACCCCCTGATGTTAGCCAAAGGCTCTTAGTCCTCTGAACTGAACAACTCCTTGCCCACCCAGGTGTAGACAAAGACCTCCTATCTATATATTTTTCTAATGCAAAACCCAGTTACACAAGACCAGTTAAATGCTCTTAGAGTGGTCACTGGTTCTCTGAAACTTGTGGTCAGGCTTGCACTGTGGACTAGCAAGGAATCCCCTGAGATCTTTGGGTCTCGGGAATATTCCCCTAGGAATTGGCATTTCATCCCCTTTCCTTTTCTATCTTGAACAACACCCCTAGAAACAAAAAATCCCCAAAGTTCTATTGTGCAGGGATTTCCACACACATTGAATTCAACTTGTAAGAGAGCAAATAAATTTCCTTATCCATTTTGTTATTTTGCCTTGGGGCATTCAGGCTCAGGCCAAATCAGTTAGGTGAGAATTTAAATTGGCCTGCCCCGTGAGGGAAAAAAAGGGGGGGGGAGGAGTCTCTCTCTCTCTTTGCTTTACTTTCGGTTAATGCCTTTGCGAGGGCCTGGATATGGTTTGTGGCAACTGAAGCCTCTTGGTCGGGGCAACTCCCTGATATTGGCCAAAGGCCCCCTGCCCTCTTTCCAGACCCCGACAGCCTGACTGGGTGTAGGCAATAACCTTTACAACTCTCATAAAAATCTGGTAACGCAGCAACCAGTTAAAAGTCTCAAGGATGGCTGCCAGGTTCTTTATTTTTTTCTTTTTTTGGTCTTTTTGAGGCAGGGTCTCCTGTAGCCCCAGCTGTCCTGGAACTCACTATGTAGACCAGGCTGTCCTTGAAGTCACAGAGATTCGCCTGCCTCTGCCTCCCCAGTGCTGGGATTAAAGGCGTGCGCCACCATGCCCTGCACCAGTCCTGTGTTTGTTAGGACGTCTCAATCCCCGGATGGCAGGCTGCCTCGGGAACCTTGACTGCCAATGACAACACTTCCTTTCCTATAATGGGGAATTCAACATCACGCCAAAAAGACCTCCAACAGTGCTGGAGGCACTGCCACTGCCACCATTGCACAGACCCATCACCTGGCAGGAAGGAGACTTTCAAGACAAGCTCAACCAAGCAATGGCATCCACAACTGACAGCCTTGAGTCTTTTCAATGGCAAATGAACTCTCTTGCCAGGGTTGTGTTCCAAAACAGAAGAGCACTAGACTTAATAACTGCTGAACACGAGGGGGGGGGGCGGAGGGAAACAGGACACGGGACGGGACACACACACACACAACACACGACACAGACGGACTGTGTGTTGTATTGGGAGAATGATTTTTTTTTTGTAAATGAATCAAATGTTGTTGAGACCAATGTTAATACTCTCAAAAAACTTCTTAATCTATTTTCAAGATTTCAACCCACTGAAAAATTAGGTTGGTTTAGTAACCCTTGTTTTCATGGCTCCTACCCTTTGTTGGCCCCCTGGTCATGCTGTGTGTCATTTTGATGCTTGCTCCGTTTCACACAGTTTCTTCGCTGACAAATTACTACCAATCAGGCCATGGTCAATTATCAGACTGGATTCTCCTGAGGTAGATGAACTGGCTCTTAAAGCTTGTGATGACACTTCTCCATTATAAAACAAAATGGGGAGATGTTGGGGGACCCTGCTGCTAAGGTTGTAGTCCACCATGTCTGGGTAGCTCTAAGGAGCTTGGTACTGTATGGAGGACTCCCTTTCTCAGCAGGGTCTTCCTGCCCTCTGCCTGCCTTATCTGGAAAGTGCCTCCAAGCACAGATGCCTGGCCTTATTTGGAACATGACCTTTGGCATAGTTACCTGCAATAAACTGCCTCCAGTTTTTTTCTATATGATAATGAGGCATTGCCCTATAGCCAGATGATAGGATCCCCCACCACATGTAAATAAAGCATACTATGAACACCTATCAGCTGAAGCTTTGGCTGCTGCCTCCGCACTATATTTTCCCTGACCCCCACTGAGTAAATGAATTGTATCAGTGAAACTAATGCCCAGGTCTTTTCCGTTGTGCTCACTGGCCATCCTGACCCCGTTAGTCACCTCTGCTCCTTTTGTTCTCGTGGGCAAAAGCCCACAAGGGGAGGGAGAGACCCACAGGGCACAAGTGCCATAGCATGTGTGGAGGTCAGAGGACAGCATATGGGTCCCAGGGACTAAACTAAGTTTGTCAGGCTTGGTGAATTGCACCTTTAACTAAAGAGTTATCTTACCAGCCCTACACTGATACTTTTTGATTCACTTGCCACCTGCAAGGTAACTATCACTTCTCCCTGTTTATTTTTAAATATTTTATTATTTTATGTGTATGAGTATATTGCCTGCATGTATGTAAGTTCACGTGTGTTGTACAGTGCCCATGAAGGTCAGAAGAGGGTATCGGATGCCCTGGAACTGGAGTTAAAGACAGTGGTAAGCTGCCATGTGGATGCTGGGAACCGAACCCTGATCCTCTGCAAGAGCAGCCAGTGCTCTTAAACTCTGAGCCATCTATCCTGCCCCTTGTTTATTTTTGAGACAGATGTCATACTGTAGCCCAGGGTGACATGGAATTTACAGCAATCCTCCTGCCTCAGCTACCCAAATGCTGGGAACTAAGGCATAAACCACCATGTCCATCTTTGTTTTTCTCATTACAGACCTGAGAACAAGTCTAAAGAAAATAATATGCCCAAGATGCTAATACCTTCTGCGTGCCAATCAAGGTCTGAGCGAAGGTAGGCTGACTTTAAGCATACTTAAAAAAAAAAAACAAAAACAAAACCAACTTTGAACAAGAGGAAGAAATATCAGATGTGGAATATGCTAGGGAGGTCTAAGATAGCATACAAGCCTCCTGCTATCTCTACCTGGATACACAGAGGGAGGTCTGTCAATCCAAATCCTGCCTATGGACGATGAGCATTGGGAGCTGGAGCTCTGTGCTCTCACTACTGTATGCCGCAGCATGAGGGACTATTTCCTAGGTGCTGAGGGACACTGTGCTGATTGGAAGGGCCTTCCTTAACTATTGGCAGCATAGGCTATGGGGGTAACTCAGGGCACCTGCAGGTCTTCCAGTAAAAGTGCTGGAGGAGATGGACTAATATGGAGTGGCAGCATGGGAAAGCTTGACTGTTCCACTCACTAGATTCTCTAGCCTTCATGTTCCCTGAAGCAGACACCAGATTAGATTTGACTGGTCTCATCTCCTCCTAGGCACCTCATTAAAAGTTTTAAGAGGCTGGAGAGATGGCTTATGTATTCAGAGCACTTGTTGTTCTTGTAGTGGACCCGGGTTCAGTTTCTAGAATCCACATCAGGCAGCTCACAACTGTCTGTAACTTTAGTTCCAGGGGGATATGACACCTTTTTCTTGGCTCTGTGGGCATCAGACACACAGACAAAACATTCACACACATTAAAAAAAAAAAAAAAAAAAAAAAAAAAAAAAAAAAAAAAAAAAAAAAAAAAAAATCTTAGAAGATTTAAAAAGTGCTCTATTTGATTTGGATTGGTTTAATTTAATTGGTTTAATGTGTTGACATTCAAAAAATATCTGAATATGCATTAAACTACAAAAGGCTGAATTTTAATTCCTGAATACATATAAAATCTTCTTATGAAACTTGGACATGATGGCACACACCTATAATCGTATAGCATTTGAGGGGCTAAGGCAAGAGGATTGCCACAAGTTCAAGGCCAGCCTAAGCCAGGAACTTCATAGCAAGACCCCACCTCAAAAACAAAAAAATACACCAATTAATAGGCAAGTAACAAAATTCTTTAGTGCTAAAGTAAAACTCTCTGATAAATTTTGAGGAACAGAAAAAGGATCACCCTAGGAGTCAAATGTATTGTAAAAATCCTTAGACTTGAATCACTGTCAGGAACTATTCATGAATAGAGGATCTTTCCAAATTTTTTGAACTTAATAATTTCAAGTGGAATCAAATACTTTAATCTTAGGGGTGAACTATTCTGATCATACTCATAAATGCAAACTAGTGAGATAGCTATACCAAGTTCCTCCTAGGGACTGAGTCCAGGACCTCACACATCCTAAGCTGAACTTTACCACTGAGCTACACTCCTAACCCCCAAATCATCAATTTCTGAGGTACTCTTTCTTGCTGCAACAGTCTATCCAGTGCTCAGTGTGCACTCCAGCTATGCAATTATTGGCTATATAAGCCTGAGCAAAACTAACCATTCTTTATGGAGCTTCTATGTCTGTAAAATGGAATACCTTTCAGGATTTTAAGAGCTCGTAGAATTCTGTGAGAATCGGCAGAATCCAATAATTCTATTGGAATTGCTACGGTACAATGAAGAGCGGCATGATTTGGTGGAGAACACAAACCCAAGGAAACATGCAAGTGGAAACTACAGGGATCTTATCCAACACTAAAATTAAGACATCTGAAGAGGGAAAGAAAGGTTTTCAGGTTTCTAAATCATCTCTCTCTGATTTGTGTGTGGGTGTGTGCAAGCCACAGTATGCGTGAGAGCGCAGAATGTGCAGGAGTTAGTTCTTGCCTTCTGCCATGTGGGTTCTGGGGATGATCTCAATATAGTGGGCCTGGCAGTAAGCACCCTTACCACTGAGCCATTTTGTGAGTCCAAGTTTCTAAATCTTTTCTAAAGACATTAAAAAAGATGAGTCCTAGACATGACAGATCTAGTACATGAAAAGGAATTGAAATGAGAACAGCAAAGACAAAGGATTTCTCTGCTTTTCAGATCCTGGACTTTTGACATGTATCAGATCCAATTATTTTCAGAATAGAAAGAGGCCATCTAATTATAGTTCAGAATAATAAAAACCTGCTGGAGGAAAAGAAAAGACACTATATAGATACATAGAAAGATTTTTGGAACTATCCAAATAAATTTAGAGTTCACAAAACAGAACTACCCTCCTAAGTCCCTGTTTCTCAGACTGTACTAGCAGGGCAGGTTCTATTATTTACAACGTGCTGCTGTAAAGTTAAAGGGGGAACTCATATAGACTATCTTTACTCACCATGAAATTATAAATGGCAAAATAGCATTTAGTTCAACTATATATGGGACAAAACCGGTTTACCCTAGAAAGACTTCTATGTTAAATTTGCCAAAAATTAGTTTCTTGAAGCACAGAAGGAAGTGCTTGTGACCACACACGCAGTGTGCTCAGTCTGGTTTACTGGGAAAAGGGCTGGATTCATATTTAAATTTCTACTTCACTACTTCAGAGCTGTCTGGTCTGGGAAGGTCACTTCTGAGGCTCAGTTCCTGTCAGTAAAATGGGAACATAAGATAACCAGCTTGGTGCCTCATGTAACAGATGCCCAGTTAGCATCTACACTGGTGGTACATGGCCCCACACCAGCCTCTACTCAGACAAACCATGTCTTCACACACATTCAGTGTAGGCAGAGAAATGACTGCACCAGCTCAGTGTGTAACTCTGGTAAGATGGGACATCAGGGGCAGGAGGGCAGGGAGAGGGCAGGGAGGTTACCTGGTAAAGCAGTTCAGCAATCAATTACACTCAAACTTACATTCCAAAGAGAGCGCCTCCAAGATGTGCTGCATGATCAAAAAATTTCCATCCCAGGATCATCCCAGCTGTATCCATCGCGATGATGGCTTTTAGGGCCTAAAAGCCAGCAAGAGAAAACAGAAGTGGTTTAACTCTGATTCCTTCATGTTTGACTTAAGGGCAAGATGTCAGCCACTGTAAAAACATTCATCAACAAAACTTCATCCAGGTACTCACATTTCCTGCTGTGAAGGTGAAGAGTGGGAGGAAGATGATAGCGAGTCGCCCTTCTGGGATCTTGGTGCAGACTGCTGCAAGCACGGTCATGATTGCACCTGACTTCGAGGAAAGGAGCACGTTGGTGAGAACAGTAAAGGACATATGCAATCACAGGGTAGCTATGCCCCTAGAGGGCTGGTGTACTCTGTGTCTCTAGGGGAACACAAATCTTAAAAGCTTCCAGTTGCCAATGCACACAATATCAGGCAAAGAAGCTCCAGGCTGTCACACAGTATCTCACAGTGATCACTAAAAACCTGAACTTTTTGATTATAGAACAGTAAAATATATAATAATCATACTGTGATTATTTAATGAACTTCAAGAACAGCATTAAACATGCCACATGCAGAGCCAGGTGTGGTGATGAATGCCTTTAATCCCAAAACTCAGGAAGCAGAGGCAGGAGGATCAGTCCAAGCCAGCCTGGTCTACAAAGTGAGTTCCAGGCCAGCTGGGACTATAGGGAGACCCTGTCTCAAAAAACCCAACCCAAACCAAACCAAACCAAAATGCCCATGAAGGAAAGTTAAGAGCACTGGTTGCTCTTGCAGAGGACCCAGTTTCAGTTCCTGGTATCCATTTGGTGGCTAACAACCATCCTTAACTCCAGTTCCTGGGGATCCAATGCCATCTTCTGGCCTCCATGGGCACCGTATGTAACCAGGAGGCCACTGTATGTAACCACTGTACACTTATAAATGTGCAGGGAAAACACACACATAAAATAAAAATAAATTAGGGAATGGAGAGGTGGCCCAGTCGTAAAGAGCACGAGCTGCTTTTGCAGAGGACCCAGGTTCAGTTCCCAGGACCCACATGGCAGCTAACAACCATTTGTAACTCCAGTTAAAGGGGATCTGATATCCTCTTCTGATGTACTGCATGAAATATACATGCACTTACATACATGTAGGCAATATATGCATATGCATAAAAGTATTTTTTTAAAAAATTTTATTATTTTATGTGTATGCGTGTATTGCCTGCATGTAGGTAAGTGCACCCATGTCGTGCAATGCTGGCAGAGGACAGAAGAGGACATCAGATTCCCTGGGACTGGAGTTACAGGCAGTTGTTAGCTGCCATGTGGGTGCTGGGATTCAAACCTGGGTCTTCTTCAAGAACAACCAGTGTTCTTAACCACTGAGCCATCTCTCCAGCCCCATGCCTGAGAAAGAATGCCTCAAACTGCTCCCCAACCAGCCAGAAGGAGAGACTGGGATAGTTAATCCTTACAATTTAAATTTATAGGCTAGGTGTGGTGGCACATACCTTTAATCCCAGCACTTGGGAGGCAGAGGCAGGAGGATCTCTGTGAGTTCCAGGCCAGCCTGGTCTACATAGTGAGTTCTTCCAGGCCAGCTGGGGCTACAGGGAGACCCTGGTTCAAAAAGACCAAAAAAAAAAAAAAAAGGCTGTGAGATATTTTTCTGGAATATACAATTTAATCTTTCTTTTTCTCTTTTTCTCTCTCTTTGTCTTTTTGAGACAAGGTTTCCCTGTAGCTGGCCTGGAACTTGCTATGTAGACTAACCTGGCCTTAATCTGACAGAGATCCACCTGCCTCTGACTCCTGAGTGCTGGGATTAAAGATGTGTACAGGCCTCCAACTCTACTCTTTAAAAACAAGTGAAGGCAACAAGTTAGAAAAACAGCATAAGCCTCCCTCAAAGAAAAAATTCCAAAGCCCAGGGTTAGGCATGTGGACAAACACAACCTGGTGTCTAGCCCAAAAAAGCAGAACGGCAAGGAAACCACAATCTCAGCTGTAAACTTGGATATGGTGGTCCTATGAACTTTGGAAAGGGAATGAGCCTAAATTTTATATTCTATACTTAAGGTCAACTGTTACTGTGTATTGGCCAAGAGTTTAAACACATGGAGTTCCTGTCAAATGCTGACTTTCCTTAATAGGTTAATTACAGCATGTATGGAAATACATGCACTCATATAAGCCCTTATGATTTGTTCCCTATTGTGTGCACCCCAATGGTTCACAGCAATGTTGAAGGAATACCAGAGCCATCACAACAGTTTTTCATATTTTCCCGTAAAACTGGATGGATTGTGGTGCCCCAAGGGTATTACATCTTCAACTGGCCAGCCATACTGATAACTTATTCTGAAAGATTTGTTCTGACTGGTACTTAATATCTGCCCCAAATCCTCAGTATATACTATTTTAGGCAGAATAGATGTTAATGTCCCTAAGAATCTGAAAGGCAGAATGAACAGCAGCCTATTACTCTCTTAGCTTCAGGACTACTTTAACATCTTAGGTTTATTTTTAAGTAAAACCTATAAAAAGACTCAAATTCAAGAAGAAACCAAGTTTAAATCTCCCTGAGGGGGGGAAAGAATCCCAACAAGATTTAACTTTCCCCCCAAATGAAGCAAACACAATCTGTTAAGAGCATTAAAATTCTGTGAAATTCTTCTAAATCGTTTTGGAGGTGCAAGTGAATTTTTAATGGGAAGAGAAGTTGTCAACTCAAATAGCAAATGAAAAACGAACACAGACATTTTTTGTTGTCATAGACAGACATGATCTCCAAAATCTGTAACATAGGAGGCATTTCAATTTGTGACCCCAAGGCCACATTCACTGCTTTCCCATTCAATTTAATACTTCTGGACTCCTACAAAAAAAAGGAATATACAGGGGCTGGAGAGATGGCTCAGTGGTTAAGAACACTGGCCGCTATTGCAGAGGACCCAGATCTTGTTCTTAGCACCCACATGGAGCTAACAGCTGTCCATAACTCCAGTTTCAGGGGATCTAATGTTCTCTTCTACCTCTGTAGGCAGTGCCCAACACTGGTGCACTTACACATATGCAGGCACTCATACACATAAAATAAAAAGTATTTGAAAAACCCCATTTAATACCCTTAGTTATCAGAGAAATGCAAATTAAAACTGCTTTGTGATCCCATGTCATGCTAGTCAGGATGGTGATCATTAAAAACAATTTCAAATGCTGGTGAGGATGTGGACAAAAAGGAACTCTCATACACAGCTGGTGTGAATCTAAACAGGCAACGCAACTATGAAAATCAGTATAGAGGTTTCTTAAAAACTAAAAACAGAACATATGACCCAGTTATATCATTCTTTAGTATAAACTGAAATCAACATACTACATGTATACATACATGTGTACTAATGCACTATTCACAACAGTAAGGAAATGGAACCAGTCAGTATGTCTAGCAAATGAATCAGGTAAAGAAATGTGGTACTACACACAATGAAATTTTATTCAGCTGGAAAAAATTTGAAATCATGACATTTGCCAGAAAGTGGGTGGAACTAGAAATTGTTATGCTCAGCAAAACAAGCCAACCTCGGAGAGACAAATACTGCATGTTTTTGCACATATGGAGAAACTCCATTTATGACATAGATGATAAATAGGTAGATGAGATAAATAATAGGGGGGTTATGAAACTAGAAAGTGGTCCATGAGGGGGAGAAGGGAGGAAGAGAACTTGAGGGAGGGGAGGGAGAAAAGGGCGATGGAATAAATATGTGACATAAAAGCAAAAGAGAGGGCTATTTTGGGGAGGCCAGCAGAAGGGGAAAAAGAACAGGGGTGGGAGGGAGTGGGAAGGAGGAGAGATTAAAACAAAACATAAATGGTATGTATGAAACTCCCATATCAAAATCCATTACTTTGTATGTGCGCTTTTTATTTTTATTTATTTATTTATTTATTTTTGGGTCTTCTTGAGACAGGTCTTCCTGTAGCCCCAGCTGGCCTAGAACCCTCTATGTGGACCAGGCTGGCCTCGACTTCAGAGACCTGCCTGCCTCTGCATCCTGGGTGCTGGGACTAAAGGTACACATGTGTATGTGCACTCTTTAAAGAATTATTCTATGTGTATGAATGTCTCCCTGTATGAACACTAAGTACACCTATGTGTGCAATGCCCATGAAGACCAAAAGAGGGTGCTGGGAGTCCCTGGAACTGGAGTTACAGATGGTTGTTAGCTACCATGTGGATGGCTGAGAACTAAATCTGGGTGCTCTACAAGAGAACTGAGCCATCTCTCCAGCCCTGAGGGTGTAGTTTTTAAAGAAATACTACATAAAGAATTCCATGTGCTTAGAATTCTGCCATTAAACTCAAAAGAAAATACGCTAATTTTTTTTCTTATGCACCAGAACATAACCTCCTGAGGGTGGGAACTGTAATCAGCCCACTCAGTGTCCATATGCAGGTACAGTGTCTACCTAGTAAACACTGACTCAACAGGAGGGTGTATACCAGATTCAAATCTGTAATTGTAATTTTCTTTTTCTTTTTTGTCTTTTTGAAAGGGTCTCCCTGTAGCCCCAGCTGACCTGAATGCATTATGTAAACCAGGCTGGCCTTGAACTCACAAAGATCCACTTGCCTCTGCCTCCCAAGTGCTGGGACTAAAGGCGTGCACCACCACGCCCGGCCAATGTAATTGTAATTTTCTAATGCTAGTGCAGGTTCTTTGCTTTATGGGCACTGTTCTGACTCACGGCTCTGACACACTCACCTCAATATGGACTCTATTCCAGTAAGTACACTCAAATGGCCAACAGTTAGAAGCTACAGCCTGGATCCATGATGGCTCAGTAAGTTATGACACTTGCTACCCAGTCTCAAGATCTGAGTGCAATCCCTGGAACTAACATGGTAGAAAAAGAATTCACTCCTCAAGTTGTCCTCTGACTACCACACACACACCCTGGAGGGTGCCCACACACAATAACTAAATGTAAAAAGGGCTAGAGAGATGGCTCAGCGGTTAATAGCACTGGCTGCTCTTGCAGGGGACCTGGGTTTGGGTCTTAGCGCCCACACGGCAACTAACAAGTCCAGCTCCAGGGAATCCAATTCTGGCATTCTCAGCATTGCATGCATGGGTGCATTTACACACATGCAGGTGAAGCACTTATACACAAAAAAATAATAAAAGTAAATAAATGCAAAAAAGAAAGTTATAGCCTGAAGATTAGTTTTAATTCTAAGTCAGACATGGATAAGTCAAAAGAATGATTTGAATATTAATTTACTGGTTTTGATCATTACACTGCAGCTCTGTAAGACCTAAGTTATCAGCAGGGTGAAGAGTAAATGGAAGCTATAGGAATTTTGTAGCTTTCTTATAAGCATATAATTATTTCAAAATGAATTTTTAAATTGTTAGGACAATATTTATATTAAAAATACTTACTGCACCAAGTGAAGGTCCATATCGTCCCGTGGCAACTTTACACACATAACTGACAAAATTGGAAATAACACCTATGAAATAAGTCACATTTCAACAATTTAAATATTAAAAATGGTTTCTTTCTTTGTTGTTTTATTTTGGAGTTGCTGGGGACTGAACACAGGGCCTCAGGCATACTAGCCAAGTGCTCTACCATTGAGTTACACTTCTAGTCCTTCATTTTTTAAGGCTCCACTCCATAGTTTCCACTCCATACAGTTTAGTAGCTTCTGGTTTCCTTTTCTTTTAACTCACTATGTAGACCAGGCTGGCCTTGAACTCACAGAGATCTGCCTGCCTCTGCCTCCCAAGTGCTGGGAGTGCGCCACCATGCCTGGTGCTCCTTTTTAAATGGTGTCTTGCTATGTAACCCAGGCTGGCCTTAAACTTGCTATCCTCCTGCCTCAGCCTCCCAAGTGTTGGCCTTACAGGCTATGCTTAGCAATAGTGAAAGTATTCTATTTGGATCAATCTAAGGATGCCACTGCCTAATACTTCATCTAGTTTGGACCTACCACATGAGCTACTGAGTAACATAAGGTCATTCATTTTGCCTCTCAGCTGTCATTTTCCTTATCTATAATGTGGACAAAAAGAGAATAGTGGCCGAATTCATCAGCTACTACCTCAGAATCCTCTGGGCTGACCTCCAGACAAGGTAAATCTGAATTTCTAGGCATCAGGTGGTTCATTAGGTCTCCCTGGTTTTAATGTCATTTGACTCCTTATCATTTTAAAAAACAACTTCCTATGGAACTTGAATTAATAGCTTCTAAAACATGACCTTTATACCTACAACATAACTAGCACTTGAAGAACTAAGCCAGACATGGTGGCAGATGCCTGGAATTACCAGCATCTGGGAGGCTGAGGCAGGAGAATCAATAGTTTTAAGGCCAGCCTGGGCTATATCAAGAGATCCAGGCTGGGCATGGTGGCACATGCCTTTGGTCTCAGCACTCAGGAGGCAGAGACAGGTGGAACTCTGTGAGTCTGAAGCCAGCCTGTCTTCATAGCGAGTTCCAGGACAGCTGGAGCTATAGGGAGACCCTGTCTCAAAAAGACCAAAAAAAGGGGCTGGAGAGATAGCTCAGCAGTTAAAAGCACTGACTGCTCTTGCACAGGACCCAGACTCGATTCCCAGCACCCACATGGCAGCTACGAACTGTCTTCAACTCCAGTTCCAGGGGAATCCAAAGCCCTCTTCTGACCCCCGTGGTATTACACTACATGGGTACACTCACATACATGCAGGCAATACACTCATACACATAAAATAAAAACAATAAATATTAAAAAAGGCCAAAAAAAAAAAATTGTTCCAGGTCAGCCACCATGCCTGGTTTACGCAATGCTGAAGACTGGACCCTGCGCTTCATGCATGCTAGGCCAGCTCTCCACCAACTGAGTTATATTCAGAGTCCCAAATATGAATCTTTTTTTTTTTTCCAGTCTTTTTGAGCCAGGGTCTCCCTGTAGCCCCAGCTGGCCTGGAACTCACAGAGATCCACCTGTTCCAGCCTCCCAAGTGCTGGGATCAAAGGCGTGCACCACCACGCCTGGCCCAAATACATTATTCTTAACAATCTCACAAATAGCTCTGATCCAAAGCTTTCTAGCAAACTGAACATGTTGCGAAAATGAACCAGATGCCTGAGATAGCTTGAAAGTCTAGAAATCATTATAATCCATAAGATTAATGATTTAGTTCTGGTGGGCCTGAACTAAAGAAATCAAGGTGCAGTAAGATAAAAATAATATGCGTAAATTCCACTCTTTCCTTGGAGCCCTGCATAGCTAATTTGAAACCAAGCAAACCCAAATAACTCATGGCAATTTACCACAGAAGAAGCAGGGAAGGAATAGTTCCACTTCCCTTGACACCCCACTCTACGCACAGCTTGAAAACCAAGTCTACCCTGAGCACTTACTGGGTGTAGCTGTTGCTGTAATCATCTAGCCCTTCGGCAGATACATGTTTATAATTTCAAACATTCTCAGATTAAAGCTTATTACCTGCAGATAGGTATACTGCCACGAACTGCTCTTGACCCAGAATGTTCACTATGCTGGAGGAAAAGCTCCACAAAACATACATATTTGCTGCCATGTGAAATAAGGAGAAATGACTGAATGTTGACAGCAACATTGGAGAACAAAGAACCTCTACAAGAGAAAGAAAACAGTCTGGTAATTGTGGAACACAAGGCCATTCAAATTTATTATAGGCTTGGCTTACTATTGTCATTAAATCAAATGTAAGAACTCAAAACGGATGGGTTTAACAGCATTCTTTAACGGGGTAAAAAAAAAAATCACCCCAATAAACCTGTTTCTACTTAGTAAGCAATCAATTAAAATTCTCAGTTCAATAAAAGAAACTTGTCCTTATGGCTAAAGTTAGAAACAGAGCGAGCCAATTATTTCAATTACAGGCACAAAGCTGCATATAATACTATCCTCAAAGAATCAGCCTATAGTGGCTACAGGTCGTCATTTGTTGAAAAAGAAAACAACCTAGGAGAGGTAAGTACCTTTTAGGTACCCGGGGGTTAAAGCAGAGGAGAGAGGTCCTGTCCTCAAGGAGATGGTAGTCTTTTCCTCTACACTTTGCTTATAATTACTGGTAAGTAACTTTTTTTTTGGTCATTTTGAAACAGGGTTTCCCTGTAGCCCCAGCTGGCCTTGAACTCAGAGATCCACCTGCCTCTGCCTCCCAAGTGCTGGGGGACTACAGGCGTACACCACCATGCCTGGTGTAACTCTTTTTGTTAGCATTCCAGTTACCATAAAGCATATTTTTCATATTACTTCACATCAAAATAAATTTGAGTTAGACTTACTTGACGCTGGATTGGATGTAAAATATCTCAGCATTGTTCGATGTAGTGATGGTACCCTCCATAAGCAGAATACAAGGATGTTTGCAGCTATGATACCTATAGAATAAAATTTAGGAAGGTTCAAAATTAAGGGCAAAGAAGGTCTAATCTCAAGTCTACCTGAAGATTTTCTGCCAGTTATATAAGTATACTATGTTTTTGGTGAGGGGATAGTGAGCTAAGGAAAGCAAATAAAATTGATGCCTTTAAGCTGAGCGTGGTGGCGCACGCCTTTGATCCCAGCTTTCGGGAGGCAAGACAGGTGGGTCTCTGTGAGTTCCAGGCCAGCCTGGTCTACATAGTGAGTTCCAGGCCAGCTGGTGCTACTGGGAGACCCTGTCTCAAAAAAGACAACAAAAAAAATGATGCTTTTAAAGTGTCAAATTTGTCAAAGGGTGGGAAACTAGATTTGTGGAAAACTGCAAATGTTCTAGGAACTAGCTTGCCATATTTATTTATTTATATATTTATTTATTTATTTATTTATTTATTTATTTAGTTATTTGTGTCTTTTTGAGACAGGGTCTCCCTGTAGCCACAGTTAGCCTGGATTCACTATGGAGATCAGGCTGGCCACAAACTCACAGAGATCTGCCTGCCAAGTGATGAGTCAAAGGCGCACACCACCATTCCCGGCTTCATCCAGCTTTTTAAAAGATTTTATATTTTATGTGTTTGAATGTTTTGCCTGCATATAAGTGTACCATGTGTATGTAATGCCTGCAGAGGCCAGAAGAGGGCATTGGATCACTTGAAAATGGAATTAAAGATGGGTGTTAGCTACTATTTGGGTGTTGGAAAGTGAATCTAGGTCCTCTGGAAGATAAGTGCTCTCACCTGCTGACCCATCTCTCCAACACTCACCTAGCTTATTATGGCTTTTTCTGTGGGTTCTGAAGACTGAACTCATCATTGGGCTTGTGAGGCAAGCACTTTACCCACTGGGTCATCTCCCGAGCCCAGGAAGTTTCTTCACCCAGGTTAATATTTTACTCCTTCAGAATTTACTCTTCTCAGTAAATAATCAGATCCATAATTATTGTTTGGTAATGGTCAACCCAGAAACAGAAGTAATGTACAGTATTAGGCTCTTTGTTTTAGAGTAGAAAAGTTAACAGGACATCTTTGTCTGAATACCTTAAGAAAACATCTACGGATTACTAGTGCAGGTGAAAGTCCCGATGTTTGAGAAAACACTCACTGGATAACTGAGGTGTATCTGAATCTAAATGAATTTTGTAACTTCTTTTAAAACATGTTTACTAGTGAGAATTAGATACCCCCTCCCCGCTGTTTCTGTTATATGAACTATCAATTGAGCAGTTTATTTAATTATAGAATTAACTAGTTGCAATGTCAGGATAAATTATTTTTGAAAACTACAAACTAATTTTTAGCATTAAAAACCTCTCTGTGCTGGATATGGTGGCATACACCTTTAATTCCAGCACTTGGGAGGCAGAGGCAGGCAGATCTCTTTGAGTTTGAGGCCAGCCTGGTCTATAGAGTACTGAGTTCCAGGTCAGCTGGGACTACAGGAGATCCTGTCTCAAAAAGACCAAAACCAAACAAAAAACAGCAACAAAAAATCCCAAAGCCACACCTCTCTGCACATAGTAGGCATAAATCTATTTGTTGAATTAAAGGAATTTAAACATTTATGTAGTTTTCCATTCTCTTTAAACAACAGATATTTTCAACTTCTTCAGTACAGTAGGGACAGATTTCTTAGGTAAGATGATTGTCTTTAGAAGGTAGTCTTTGTACGGCAGGCACAATGGTGCACACTTGTAATCTCAACATTTGTAAGGTGGAGGCAGGAGGATTAGAAAGGAGTTCAAGGCCATCCTCAGCTGTAGGATAGGTAGCCTGTCTGGGCTACATGAGACTTTACAAAACAAAACAACAAAAAAACCACTCTGTAGAGTCCCTTCTCAAATTCTCCTAAAAAAGGAGGAACATTTTCCAATTCATTCTACGTAATCAGTATTTCTTTAATATCAACCAAAGATGGGGAAGAAAACTAAACAGAAAGCGACTTAAAGGAGTATGGGTTATTTTGGTTTACAGTTTGAGGATACAGTCCATCATGGCAGGAAGACACGATGGTAGGTTGGGAGGTAGGTGCTCACATTGAGTCTGCAGTAGAGATAAATTCTAGTACTCAGATTACTTTCTCTTTTCTTCCCTTTTTAATCCAGTTCAGGACCTTAACTCACAGATGATGTTGCCCATATTCAGGGTGGGTCTTCCCATTTTAGGATTAAATGCATAATCTTGTTAAGTACAATAAAAACCATGAAACTGAATGCCTTTAAGTGATTAATTAAATTTCCTTTTTAACAAATGTCATGAACTGATTCAGAAAGAATTTCTTGATTCAGTGACCTTTTGTTGATCTTTAATCATAACAGAAATACAAGCTCTTTTTCTCCTTTCCTATAACTAAGATTTACAATCCCACTTCAATACCTAAGCAGAGCATCGAGTTCTAGGGTGAGCTTACTCACCCCTTCATGGCTTCTCTAACTGAAGGGGCTGCCAATTGTCTCCAACCTGACAATCCAGACAGTGACAAACATGAATGTCCATACTTGCCAAAGAATCAAACTTAGGCTTGGTGCTGGGCATGGTAGCGCATGCCTTTAATCCCAGCACATAGGTGGCAGAGGCAAGCCGATCTCTGAGTTCTGGTCCAGCCTGGTCTACATAGCGAGTTTCAGGTCTGCTGGGGATACAGGGAGACCCTGACTCAAAAAGACCCCCCCCCAAAAAAAAATAATAAAATAAACTTAAGGCTTGGTGAGAGGCAGAAAGGTTTAGAAGTCAACCTGGTAATCTCACTTAGTAGCTAAGTAATATGAACTCAAGAGGATCCAGAGAAATCCTTCTTCCATCCTACAACTAGGATGGTAGAAAAAGTATAAAATTAAGACAGGAAAGTAAGTAGAAACTCGATTAAGAGAGGCAAAGCCTACTCAAGTGACCAGCTTCTTCTAGAAGGCTCCCAGTCCTAAAGGTTCCATAGCTTTCCCTAACAGTGCCACCTGCTGGGGACCAAGCGTTCAAACACATGAGCCCTTAAGGGATACTGCACATTCCATCACACCTGGCAAAAGCCTAACAGGCTCCCGTAAAAGCTGGGAAGACAGGAGAGAGTCTTTTGGGGGGCTGTTTAGGTTCCCTCACTGATAGGCTGAAAAGCCTGAGCAGAAATGAGAAAGTAGCTCAAATGTAAAAGTATAAGGGTCAAGTGTAACTCTGAAGAACACACTTTAGGCTCCTCTTTCATCCCATAAATACCAAGGAAGTATATAAAAACTTGTTTTCTAGGCTGAGGGGATGGCTTAGTTAAGTGTTTGTTGTGCAGACCATGAGTATCTGAGTTGAATTCTCAGTATCCAAGTAAAAAAAGTAGCATAAGGAACTCTGTGAGTCAAGGCCAGCCTTATCTATATAGTTGTCTAAATAGTGAAGTTCCATCCAGATATGGTGGCATACACCTGTAGTAGCACTTGGGAGGCAGAGGCAGGAGGATCTCTGTGAGTTCAAGGCCAGCCTGGTCTACATAGAGATCCGGGTCAGCTGGGGCTACAGGGGGACCCTGTCTCAAAAAAAGACCAAAAAATATAAAATACATAGTGAATGCCAGGCCAGCTGGGGCTACAGGGGGACCCTGTCGCAGCATAAAAGGGTGGTGGTACACACCTGTGATCCCAGTGTGGAGCGATGGAACAGTGGTTAGGAGCACTTGGTACTCTTGGAGAAGACCCAGTTTCGGTTCCCAGCACCCACATGGTAGCTAACAACCACCTGTAACTCCAGTTCCGGGGGATCCAATGTCCTCTTCTGGCCTCCACAGGTATTGCATGACATGGGTGTACTTACTCATACACATAGAACAAATATGTCTTTTTGTTGATTATTTTTTGAGTCTCCCTAGTCACAGCCCTCCCAAGGGCTGGGATTAAAGGTGTACGCTACCATGACTGGCACAAAAAATAAATATTATAAAAAAAAGGGAGCGCAATGAAGGTAGATGCTCAGTGTCAACCACTGGCCTCCCCACACACATGCACACACACACCTCCACATTTACAAACATCTTTTTTCTGAGAAACTTGAAGTCTTATGAGGTATTTCTGTGTAACAAGACCAAAAAAATTCCAAAGCCAGGTGTGGCTCATGTTTATGATTCCAGCACTTGGGACACAGAGGTAGAAGTAACAGGACTGCTCCAAGCTCAAAGCCAACCTGGTCTACATAGTGATTCTAGGCCAGCCAGGGCTACATAGTGAGACTCTCCCCTTTTAAAATATTTTATTATTTTTATCTTATGTTTATGCATGTATTGCCCGCATGTAGGTGAGTGCACCTGTGTCATGCAATGCCTGCGAAGGACCGAAGAGGTTGTTGGATCCCCTAGAACTGGAGTTACAGTTGTTAGCTGTCATGTGGGTGCTGGGATTCAAACGCAAATCTTCTGCAATAACAGTCAGTGTTCTTAACCGCTGAGCCATCTCTCCAGTCCCTACCCCTTTAAAAGACACATTCCAAAACCAAGAAATAAATAATTAAAAAATTATTTTTGAGAACGGTTTAAGACAGAATAATAAAGAAAGACTCCAAACCAAACATCAGCTATAAGGAAGGGTAGTTCGTCACCTGATATTGGCTCTACCTCTGGAACACAATGTAAGGAATCCTCACAGTCTGCTCTTACCTAACTCTAAAGCCTAAGAGACATGGATAAATTAGAGATATCTTCATTCTCTGAACTAGAAACCAAATAATCTATTGTCTGAACTTACTCTAAAATCCTGCTATGCAAATCTTAATAGATTCAGACATCAAGGAATGGAAGAACTTGGTTTAATAGCAAGAACCCTTTAACCCACTAGAACTCCGGGCTGCCACTCCCTAATGAACAGTACAAAGCGAAGCACAGAACAAAGCTCTGACCTCGCGCAGCTTTGAAAATCTCTAGGTCAGAGTTTGTAAACAACCTTACAACAAAAACTCCACTTCAGATCATCTATAATGACAGAAATAAAGTGGAACAGTGTATTTGTAACTCCTTACTCAGTGAGAAGCTGAGTCAACCTCACTTAGAATACAGCTTTACTTAGGACCAGTCTAAGAAGCCAAAGCAAGCAAGGCCTGCTAGATTAACTGGTACCTCTAAATCTCAGTCCAAAGTTAACTATTAAGCATCTCAGATGCTATAAAGCTAGAAAAAGTATTAGAGAAGTCTCAGGTGACAGCAAGAAGGTCAAAGATAATACTAACTAGTTCTACAATCTTATAGATGACAACCTATTTTGAAAAAAAAATCTCATTCTACTGATTCAAGGTCCCCATTCATTCACACAACAGATTTAAAAAAAAAAATTTATTTTACGTGTGTACGTGTATTGCCTGCATGTGGATAAGTGCACCCGTGTTGTTCAATGCCTGCGGAGGTCAGAAGAGGCTATCGGATTCCCTGGAACTGGAGTTATGGACAGTTGTTAGCTGCCATGTGGGTGCTGGGATTCAAACCCGGGTCTTCTGCAAGAATAACCAGTGTTCTTAACCGCTGAACCATCTCTCCAGCCCCTCACACAACAGATTTTAACTGTCAGTACTGTGTGCATGGTATGTACTAGGTGCTACAATAAAGTGGAAACTCTCACCATTATCCTCAGGATGCTTACATTTACCCACAAAGCAGTTGGTCTTATGAAATATGCACACGTGGTGTGTATCCATACATGAAGGCAAAACACACATAAAATTAAAATTTTTAAAAACAAAAGCCTATTTTTTCTGTGTTTTGCTGCATGTATGTGAAAACCTGCAGAGACCAGAAAAGGGCAAGAGATCCCCCAGAACTGATTATGGGCAACTATTAGCTGTTACGTGGGTGCTGGAAACTGAACCCCCGCCCTCTGCAAGAGCAGAAAAATGCTCATAACCATAACCACTAAGCCACCTCTCCAAGCCCCAAAATAAATCTCTCTCTCTCTTTTTTTTGGTCTTTTAGAGACAGGTCTCCCTATAGCCCCAGATGGCCTGGAACTCACTTGTAGACCAGGATGGCCTCAAACTCACAGAGATCTGCCTGTCTCTGCCTCCCAAGTGCTGGGACTAAAGGCATGTGCCACCATGCCCAGCCCCGAATATTTTAGGGGCTGGAGAGGTGGCTCAGAAATAAAAGCAACTTGCTGTTCATCCAGAGGACTGGGGTTCGGTTCCAGGCACCCACAAGGCAGCTCTGTTGCCCTATTCCAGCCTTCTCAGACACTACTTACATACTGGCGTGCAAACAGGCAATCAAAATACTTGTACAGGGGCTGAGATAGCTCAGCAGTAAAGAGCACTGGCTGCTCTTAGAGAGGACTCAGGTTTGGTTCTCAGCACCCACATGGTGGCTAACAGCCGTCCATAACTCCAGTTCCAGGGGATCTGAAGCACTCTTCTGACCTCTGCAGGCATTGCGTGACACAGGTGCACTTACAGACATGCAGGCAATATACTCATACACATAAAATTAAAAAATTTAGAAACATTTATACAAATAAAAATAAATCATTTAAAGAAAAAAAAATTAGTTTTTGGTCTTTTTGACACAGTGTTGCCCTGTAGTCTCAGCTGGCCTGGAACTCACTATATAGACCAGGCTGGCTTTGAAGTCTCAGAGATCCGTCTGCCTCTGCCTCCTGAGTGCTGGGATTAAAGGCATGATCAAAGGCCTGCACCACCACATCTGCCAAAACATCTACTTTTTTTATAACTCTCATTTTATGTGTATGAGTGTACTGTCTACATATATGTAAGTACACCTGTGTCATGCAGTGCCTGCAGAGGTCAGAAGAAGGCGTCGGATCCCCTGGAACTGGAGTTATGGATTGTTGTTAGCCACCATGTGGGTACAGGGAACCGAGCCTGAGTCCTCTGTAAGAGCAGCCAGTGCTCTTAACTGCTGAGCCATCTCTCTAACCCATAAGAAAATTATTTTATTATGAGTGTTTTGCCTGAGTATGTTAGTGTACCACATGTGTGCAATGCCCATGGAGGCCAGAAGTGGGTGTTGAGTCTCCTAGAACTGGAGGTATGGACAGTTCATAGCTGCTATGGGGGTGCTGGTTTAAACCCAGGTCCTCTGCAAAAGCAAGTGCTTTTTAACCGCTTAGCCGCTTAAAAAAAGTCTTATGCCAGGTGTGGTGGCGCTACCAGCAACCAACTGAGCAAAGTAAAGAGGTGCACAGAAAGAACCTGTGCACAGAAAGTGCTTATCAACTCCTTTAGACTCATGGTTTTGTTTTTGTATTCCAGGCTAGCCACAAACCCACTATGTAGCCTTGAACTCCTGATCCTCCTGCCTCCATCCTGAGTACTGGGATTATAGGTACGTGCCATCTTGCCTGGTTTATGCAGTGATACAGATGGAACTCAGGGTCTTGCTAAGTGAGCACACTATTAACTAAACTATATCCATTCCCAGTCCTCCTTCATCTTCTTTAATGAGAGAAGTAGTAATTATTTGTGAACTTTTTCACAAGCAGTACTATTTATTTGGTCAATATTATGCTAGAACCAAATTTTTGTTTTGAGACAGGGTCTCCCTGTAGCCCCAGCTTGCCTGGAACTCACTTGTAGACCAGGCTGGCCTTGCACTCACAGAGATGGCCTGCCTCTGCCTTCTGAGTGCTGGGATTAAAGGCATGTGCCACCATACCCGGCCGGCCCAGAACATCCTAAAAACATTATGTCATACTACTTTTTTGTTGATCTTGTCAAGATCTTTTGATTATGTCTTGCTATATATCCCAGGCTGGCCTTCAATTCTTGGTCTTCCTGCCTCCCCCTCCCAAGTACTGGGATCACAGAGGGGGCCATTCACTCCCAGCTCCACACTATTTCCTATACTATTAATTAGTATGTAGGTACATAGACACTGTCTTCTAAACCACCAGTGAGCATGGTATGAAAGCCATTGCCTGTGACATACTGTACCTTTTGGTTTGATTTCTCTCCCTTCAATGGCTAAAATGTGTAAGCTAACACAAACCTGTCACAGTCCGCTGGCCATCACTTAGGCTATTCCACCACTTGTTAATCTAAAACAGAAGGAAAATTGCATATAACTCTATGTGAAATACTTTCAGACTAAGGGGAAAGGCAAACTCTTATTTTATTTTGAGGACTAAGAACTATTTAATAAAAAGAATTCTCTTTCAAATGAAGTATTTTCTTATGCTACACAATCTTTCATAGTCCTCTGAAATACTTATGGCAGTAATCAAGAAACCTAACAACACAAACTAAACAACCATATGATGCCTTTTGTCACAACATCTGTTTCTCAGTTTTAAATTTGGAGGACCTGAAACCTCTTTAACAATATTAACTTCATACCTCTTAAACTTCACGATCCTTTATAATAATTAAGTATTCTGGAGAGACAGTTTAACTGTCCTTATAAGTGAGTGATTTCATCCAACTCTCAGTATCTTCATTTTTATTCCCACAATTTTCAATTTAACATGCTCCCATTGGAAAAGTCTTCTAACGACTTCTAATTATTAGTGGTATAAATGAATAGCTATAGAAAAAAGGCTAAACCACACACACACACAAAAATCCCAAATAATATATGCATAGGAGAGCACACACTGTTAAACTGTAAAACTGAGAATTTAATGATAAGGATGTGTTGAAAGGCATAAGACACATAAAAATAAAGTAAGCTTATCTTGTTTCCTCTCTTTGGACAGCAACAGCTACTTCTGTGTTGCATTTATTTGAAGAAGTTTATAGTACTATCTTTGCCCCCTCTGGAAAGCATGCATTTTAGAAAAAACGAAACAACAAAAGATACCTAGCAGTATTGTCAAGACTATCAAATGGGAAGCACGTAGCCATACTACAAGATACAGTCAGGTATCAAGTGATTTATTCACTAAGGTCCTATCTAGTTTTAAATTCTAACTAAGGGAACTAGAGAGATGGCTCAGCGGTCAAGGGTGTTTGCTGTGCAATCATGAATTAGGACTTGAGCTCAGATCCCAGCACCTTTGTAATAACCTCTGAGGGATATGATACCCTCTTCTGGCTTCTGCACACACATGAGCACACACTCACTCTCTTTTACTTACACACACACACACACACACACACCCCTTAAAAACACAATTCTAAGAGCTAGCTGTAGCATGTCACACCTGTAATCTCAGCATTTGACAGGTGGAGGCAGGAGGATTAAGAAATCAGAGTCATCCTTGACTACATAGTTGAATTCAAAGGATACATGAGACCCTGTTTCAAAAAACAAATGACAAAACTCAAACAGAAAAAAGAAAAAAAAAATGTAACTGGGCATTGTGGCACAGCCTGAAGTCCCCGCTATTCAAGAGGCTAAGGTGGGAGTGCTTGAGCCCAGAAGTTAGAGAGAAGCCTGGGCAACCCAGCAAAATCTTGTCTCTAAAACTGAGATAACAAATTAAAAATGAAATTCTAACAAAATATTTTGTACTAAATCTGCCAATTTTTTTTTTTTTTTTTTTGGTCTTTTTGAGACAGGGTCTCCCTGTAGCCCCAGCTGGCCTTGAACTCACAGAGATCCACCTGCCTCCCAAGTGCTGGGATTAAAGGCATGCGCCACCACGCCTGGCCAATTTTTAATGCAATAATGTTACCCTGTCTAGAAGACAAGGAGAATTCTAAAGTTTAAGAATACATGGCATTTGGGAGGCAGAGGCAGGCAGATCTCTGGGAGTTCGAGGCCAGCCTGGTCAGAAAAAAAGACCGAAAAAAATTCAGAAAAAAAAACCGAAAAAAAAAAAAAAAGAATATATAGCATAACATTAGGGCTGAAATATGACTATGGTTTGCTTTATAAGAATTCATGAAGGTGAAAGAAGGGGAACTACTTCTGGATCTGAAATTTTTACATGTTTAAAATTTCCAAATAAACAGACCCATGCTTATTGCTGTTGATCTCAGTAAGTAGGAAACTGAACCTGAATGTCCATCAACAGATAAATGCATAAAGAAAATGTGGTACATAACATACACAATGAAATTTTATTCAGCGATAAACAAAAATCAAATCACGGTATTTGTGGGGAAAATTAGTGGAATTAGTGAAATAAACCAGATTCAGAGACAAAAGAAATAAAACTATTCTAAGGCTGGTGATGTGGCTCAGCTGGTAAAGTGTGACTAACATGCACAATGTCCTGGGTACAATCTCCAGTATTATATACAACAGTGTGGTGATTCACAACTGTAATCCTAGCACTTGGAGGATGGAGGCAGGGGAGCAGAAATTCAAGGTGATTCTTGTCTACATTAACAAGTTCAAGGCAAGCCTGAACTCATATTTGAGACCCTCCCTCAAAAAAAAGAATCTAATTATGAAACTGAACTAGATTTTCATATGGCAGTTCAAGGCTAAAAAAAATTCATAGTATGTGCATGACGCTATTTCTGTAATTATAATTGTGTACGAGCTCCCAGACATGTATATATAGTGGTATGAATGGGGTTCCTAGGACTTCTCTTTCTAACTAAGAGCTCACGTTATTGCTGAGGATGGCCTCAAACACCTGGACTCAAGCCATTCCCAGATAGGAGAGGCAAGAGGTCCATGCTACCATGCCTGGTTAGGACTTTCATCTTCCATACTAAGAATTGTTTCAATTTTAATGAATGTGGATTTTATAAATTATCATCTATCATTTAACTCTTTTTCAAAAAGAAATCTATTTTGGAAATGCTACAGCTGTGAAACCAAAGAGTGCTGCATACAGGGAGTGGTGCTAGTCAGAGAGAGGGAGAGGGAGGGAGAGAGGGAGAGAGAGGGAGAGAGAGAGAGAGAGAGAGAGAGAGAGAGAGAGAGAGAGTGCATGCACGAGAGTAAAGGAGAGTGAGAGCTAAAGATTGTCATATTCAATATCTTAAAGAACCATCAAAGGGCTGGAGAGATGACTTAGCTGTTAAGAGCACTGACTGCTCTTGCAGAGGACCTGGGTTCGATTCCCAGCACCCACATGGCGGCCATGAACCATAATTAACTCCAGTTCCAGGGGAATCTGAAGCCCTCTTCTGACCTCTGTGGCCTGGCATGACATGGGTGCACTCACATACATGTAGGCAATACACTCATACACATAAAATAAAAATTAAAAAAAAAAACAAAAAACAAAACAAAAAACCAGAACTGTTAAATCTATCTAGGTATTAAAACTTCAAAACAAGGGCTGGAGAGATGGCTCCATTACCCATTTGGGGATACTCACAAGTTCCTATAACTAACTCCAGCTCCAGGGGATAGGATATCCTCTTCTGGCCTCTGTGGGTACCAACACACAAAGCTTACAGGCACATATACACGCCTTTAATCCCAGCACTTGGGAGGCATTGGCAGGTGGATCTCTGTGAATTCAAGGCCAGCCTGGTCTACACAGTGAGTCCCAAAAAAAAAAAAAAACCCTCATAAAGTGGAGTTGTATTAGAAACTGGTACTTTCTACTGTCTTCTCAAATATATTGTACTGAATAAAAGTCAGCTTGTCACCTTCTACCTGCAAGTACCATTCATTGTTCCTTTGGCATAAAGCCTCTTTAAAATGAAAGCCCATGGCTTCCTTCTCAGGCTCTTGTTGACCAGCAATGAACTGTCTCTAGGAAGTGGGAAAGTAAGGAGGACATTAATCCTCCCTCCAAAATGGAAGGAAACAGTCATCAAAAAAAAAAAAAATCGATGTTTTTATTTAGCCTGTGCAAGGACCTGAGTTCAAGCCCTAGCACTGAGGGGAAAAAGGTGCTGACCCTGGAATGACATATTAACAATGGCCTCAGTACGGTACTCAGAAAGTTTTGGCAAGTAAAAAATATAGTTTATCAAGCTGGGCTTGGTGGCACACACCTTTGATCCCAGCACTTGGGAGGCAGAGGCAGGTGGACCTCTGGGAGTTCAAGGCCAGCCTGATCTACATAGTGAGTTCCAGGACAGCTGGGGCTACAGGGAGACCCTGTCTCTTAATTCAACTGTGAACCTAGAAACTTGCACCCACTTGTGAACGAGATGTATGGTCTGGAGTGTGTTACTGAATATGTTAAAGCTGTAATTAAATGCTTCTTCTAATCATGTATTTATTAAAAAATTTTTAAA